TATATATATATATATATATATATATAAAGGATGGAGGGGCTTGAACCCTTATATAGAGTTTGAAGACTGTGACGGATTTGTAGTCCGTTATTTTTACATAATTTAGCCACATCCTCAATAATTATTTAATAATTTGTACCCTCAATATTTATTTAATAATTAGTACCCTGAATAATTGTTCAATAATTCCTACCCTCAATAATTATTTAATAATTAGTACTCAGAATTGAACTGAGATAAAAAGATTTGCAACTTTTTTCTTTACCTTTAGGCAATACTATCGATAGACGACGGGAATTGAACCCGCTATAAATATATAAACTGTTTGTTTTTTTTATTCGTGTTTCTTCCCCGTCAGAGCGTACGACGGATGCCAACTTGTTTCTTGGTATTCAACTCCATGGTTATCCCATCAACCGCTATTGCGAATTCTCCAACGAAGCTCTCATTGCTGCAGATGCCGGCATTTCTTAAAGGACATGTGCCAGCACAAAAGTATAACACATGCATCTTCTTGCTTGATTGACACATTACCTTCACCTCCACAGGAAGGAGCACATCCTAATGAAAAGTGACACAGAAGGCCTCTGACGACTTCATGAGGTTAAGGAAGGAATATGCTAAATATAGCTGTTGAGTATTCAATTTGTCAAAGCATTAAGTCCATATTTCCCCTCAATATGTATTCTACTTTCGAACCCAAGCACTGTCAGCCATTAGCTATCCACCATCGTATTGGCAGGATCGTGTACCATCTATCAAGTCGGTCTACATGCGCTTTCCATGATATCTTATACGTATCCCAACTTGTAACAAATCGGTGTTATATAAGACCACCAATCAAGTTAACGATATCATGGGCCAGTGTATTGAATTCTCACCTTTATCTGGCCTTCAAGTACCAGTCTAGTAAGCTTGCCGTGCTCATCTGATGTTTTGCCTGTCCTTTGTGTGCACTAACCTACGGTACAAGCTTGCTATATCTACACCTCGAGCTACCTCTTAGACCCCCTTAGGGACCCCAGATATCTTGCATTACTCGATTGTTATTAAATTACATATGAAGGTCAACTCGTAAAGAATGCAAATAACAGAACCGGCTTCGAGTGAGCAGACAGAGGCCCTTTCAGTTGCAGATCTCGGCGCCTTCATGGAGTCGATACACACAGCTGGTCGTCATTCGAGGTCCAGATATTGTATCGCGATGTTGTTTATAATTATTACATTCACAATTTAAACGTACTTCATGTGTTTTGCTCAGTGACCTAGGGCATGTAGCAGCTGCCATTAGGGTCCCTGGCAATCAACACCGGCTCAGCCCCAAACATGTACTACTACTGCCTTGCTTGCATTACTCATAGGCCAGCCCCCAGAACTTTGAGGAATTACACGAAGTTGTATCCTCAATACTTCCTCCGTTGTTTATTTCCGGTACTTTTCGTGGGACCTGTGGCCGTTGTGCCGCTGCACCCTGCCGACCGAGCACGGGAGCTTGCTTGGCATCGAAGTTGAGTAATATCAAAACTTTGTTACTTCCGCACCTTCTCAAGCTGAGACTGACGCGCCATTCTCTGGATTGGGCTGTACCGACACTACAACAGTCGACGACGCAATTTTACCGCAGTCGTGGGGTATCCAAGCCCCAACGGGGAAAATGGAGGAGGACCCCAAACCTACAACACCCTCACCTCCGCAGGCCAGGTTAGGAGTTAGTTGTTTTCTCGGATTCACACAGACCGCCAAGAGCGGTTCCGCTTAGCATTCGCTAGCGTTTCCTTCAATGAGTTACCGCGCGGGACGCATGCACTGTTTGTATTGATTGGTTCTGCATTTGGGATTGGATGTGGGTTGCTTCGCAGCGGAGAGGTGAAGGTGACAGCTACTGGTTTGACCAAGCAGCAGCAGCAAAGGGTAGCGGCTCACAGTCACATCCGTTCTCTGGGCTTGGCTGCAGATGGCACAGCATTGCCGCAGGGGGGCGGTATGGTTGGTCAGCTGGAGGCGAGGGAGGCTGCAGGCATTATTGTTGAACTCATAAAGGCTGGCAAGCTTGCCGGTGAGTGCTGCACATGCTTTTGTGTACTCTCCAGCCTCTGTTGGTAGCAGATGCAATGCTCCTCTGTAGCCGCTAAACTACAGAAAGGACTCATTGATGTTTGCGGGGGTTCAGGCCAAGCATTGCTGCTGGCAGGTCCAGTCAGTTCTGGGAAGACGGCTCTGGCTATGGGCATTTGCGGGCAGTTGGGAACGGGCGTCCCCTTCGTGCCGTTGGCGGCATCAGCTGTTTACAGCAGCGAAGTGAAAAAGACAGAAGTGCTTCTTGAGCACTGCAGAAGGGCCCTAGGCCTCCGCATACGAGAGGTTAAAGAGGTCTTTGAGGGAGAGGTCGTTAAACTTGCCGCGGAGGAGGCTGAAAACCCTCATGGGGGCTTCGGTGCGTCAGCTTACGACAACCCTAGAAGATGTATCATCGTTTGAATATTTGTAGCAGTTCCCTGCGGACAGGGGCAGCGTGTCGTCAGCGATTTATAGTTTGAATTGTGCAGAAGTTTGCTGCAAAGTGCTTCTCGCAACCACTGGACATATACAGTCATTTACAGTGACATGCGACTTACCTTCTGGCCCGTGAGGGTGGTGCTGACGGTGGTCCAGGTGAGTGTATGCCTTTGCTTCCACGTTGTTCGCGCACGCGCAGGTAAATGCATCAGCGCAGTGATGCTGACGCTGAAAACTGTAAAGGGAGTGAAAACGCTCCGCCTGGCGCCGCAGCTGCATGACGCACTGCAGAAGGAAAATGTCCGCGTTGGCGACGTTGTGTTTATTGAAGCGAATACAGGTACGCGTCCAGGAGAAAGGGAACTAAGCTTTCTATTATATATCCCTCCCTAATGGGTTGATACATGCATAATAATACCTTCATGATATGCTTTATATATGTCTTCCGTGGCAACGCTGTTGTTGTGGACAGCCCATACACTACCTCTTGCGTTTCGTGTGCTGTCTGCAGGCATTGTGAAGCGTGTAGGTCGCAGTGACGCGTTTGCGACGGAGTTCGATCTTGAGGCAGAGGACTTCGTTCCTGTTCCCAAGGGCCAAGTGGAGAAGAGGAAAGAAGTCGTTCAAACCGTGTCCCTGCATGATCTTGACGTCGCCAACTCCAAACCCCAGGTACGCAGCGAACAGTTCTATTAGAAATTATTGTAGCTGCTTACTGCGTGTATATGCATTAATGTTGGCATATTCACGGCCGTTGTTATTAGCAGATGTTCCTTCGTGGATTTGGATTGCGCAGAGAATGTGCACGTGGGGTGGTGTTCTCTTCACAGGGAGGCACGGACGTCATTTCTATGATGGGTGCCTACATGAAGCCACGCAAAACTGAAATAACAGAGCGGCTGAGGGAGGAGATAAACAAGACAGTGAACAAATACATTGAACAAGGAGTAGCACAACTGATTCCTGGAGTTTTGTTTATCGACGAAGTACGTTGATGTTCCAGCCACTTATCTTGGATACATGCAACCCTGATTTCTACATAATGGATGCAGTGTAAACATTAAAAGAATACTAGAAATTCACAATTATTTGGCAAGGTGTTCATAGAGTATGTGAAGGTTCTGTGTGTTCTCTTCAGGTACACATGCTGGATATCGAATGCTTTTCATTCCTAAACCGCGTCTTGGAGTCGCCGATGAGTCCAGTAATCATTTTCGCAACGAACCGGGGAGTAAGTAGAGGGGCAGTTGGCTATTGTGGTGCATGCGGCGTTCTATACATCTTTTCCTTATTCATTGAAATGTTAAGGACGAAGCCGCCATTCATCATGGCACTTACAAAAATTTGCCTCTGTCTCTTAAGTGACGTTGCAATTTTGTGGGCCGATAGTGCTTGCTTGCGCGGCAGTGCGCCGTTGATTCCGTGTTCTCCCGGTGTGCCAGGCATTTAGGAGTTGTTAGAGGCAATGGACATGTGTGCCTCAGGTCAGCACTGTTCGTGGCACGGATTCCGTGGAGCCCCACGGCATGCCCGTGGACCTTCTCGATCGGCTGCTTATAATAAAGACAAAGCCCTACACAGTTTCAGAGGTACGCTCATTCCACGACCGGGACAGCGAGCATGCACGCAGGGTAATGGTAATCCTTTCTTTGACGGAATTGTGTGGAACTATGGATTTGATTATAGTCTTCGAGTCTCCCTGTGTGTTTGCCTCTAGGTAGTGCAAGTAATACAACTGCGCGCACAAGTTGAGCGCGTCAGCCTGTCCCCCGGCGCACTGGAAGCCATCGGGCAGATCGGCGCGCAAACATCTTTGCGCTTTGCGCTGCAACTTTTAGAACCCTGCCGTCTTGCGGCGGAGGCTCGAGGTTCAGAAGTAGTCGAGGAGAGTGATGTTGCAGACGTCGACGCTTTATTCCTTGATGCGAAGGCCTCTGCTCTGCGGCTTGCCGAACAGGCGCATCGCTTCCCGTCCTAGACTGGCTGGCAGGCACCCAACTCCTGTGTGCCTTATTTTCTCTCCTCTAGCACTTTTGTGAAGTAACCCACATCGTTCTAGGGGAAGTAATTGTGGCTTATGCTTGCTTGAAGCCGTTGGCAGAGCGACTAAAACATTTTAGGACGCCGCAATAAATGTGCCTGTGCGCTGAATACCAGCGTTTTGGCGAATGGAAATGTAATATAATAGCATGTCCGCTACTTTACTTGTTAGCTGTAGGCCAGTTCGTCAGCAAGAGCATGCAGGTAGTGCGTAGGAGGATGTCCGGCACGTGGTGTGCACCTGTGGTGAGATGCAGTTAGTGTGCGCTGCCGACATAGTCAGAGGGCTGCAATGTAGTCTCAGCTTGCTGAACTTAGCCGAGGTATCTCAGCAGATTAGTGCAGAACATCCATGGCAGCTGGTGGAATGGCTTAGTCATGTGCTTAGTGCCGATGCCATTACACATGTGCCGGTTTTAGCACTGCTCCTACCGGTCTTAAAAGTGCCATTGTGTTAGAGGTGTGATGCCCCTGGCCTGTGGGGGGTCGACGGCGGAGTATATTACTCTTCCTCCCTAAGATTTGGACAGATTCTGTAGTTTGGTCGTTTTAAGATAATTTAAGTGGATACGTGCCGATTGAACCGTGTATATTTTGAGTGTGCACATAACTGTAGGTATACATAGGACCGATGCAGTGTTGCTGTTGTGATAGCTGTCCACTACAGTAGGCCAGTGGGCGGCAGTTACCAATGTTAGTCATTGTCTTTATCGCTGGGTAGGCAGCAATAGCCCACGTAGCCCATAAAATTGATTATTGATCTTGTTTTTACAGACGAACAAATGGATGCGTGTTCCTGCAAGAATGGTGTCCCTGTTGGGCCCCGATGGCTGGCGGGTGCTCATCCCACAGTGAGCTCCCGATTCCCTGGAACTGGAGCTTGGCGAGCGGCAATTCGCCCCTTTAAATTGCTCATTGCTGCATCTTTTTGAGGGAAACCCACATATTGTTCACAGAAGGAGAAGACATGGGATTGTGAAGACGATAGCCAGGCGAACACCATTCCCACCATTTTTTTGTGGACTGTGCACGCGGTGGGCATTATGAGTTCCGCCCTTACGTCAGTGTTGCCTGGTGTCTATTTCGCTTGTCTAATGCAACGCTAAGGGGTGTTGCCAGGTCTCATGCCCACTGTTAGTTCCACAATCTCGTCCCCCAACGGCTTGGGTCCCCCTTTGCTGACCCAGCCAACCCAGTCACCAGTCTTCCGCGGCCTTACTCTCTCATTTGTTGGTTTCGATGCTTCGAGTCTCCGTTCTGTTGTCGAAAATGGAGGCCCCACAACTGGAGGCTACAACGGAACCGCAGCCGGTGCCATCCCTGTTGCAGGAGCACTTGCTGCAGATGTTGCTGAAGCAGAAGGTATCCTACAAGTAATGCAGTATAAAGCAGAGGAGGTGAGTTTTTGTCGAGCCTTCAGATGGCTTCAATAGAGCAAAATTCCACTTGGTGTAGTGGAGGCGAACGGATTGAGAAGCCATGAACCATATTCAATCGGTTTGTGAATGCTTTGGAATATGTAACACTTCTTTGCTTGACGGCATGCACATCTCCATTTCAGGAAGCAAGTGCAGCATGCGTTGAGGTAGTACAACTGCAGCAGCAACTACCAGCTGCAGAACCAGCAGCAACAACGAGAACACTTTCATCCTCAACTTGTGTATAATATTTCTGCAGGCTGGAGCACGCGTGTTAGATGCATCTCGGGAGGGCATCGCTTCGGCAAGTTTTCTTGTATGTAATTTCGCTGCGGCTTTCATGCACCTCAGCCGTCTGGCTGCTTTATCAGGTACAGATTTGTCGCTGCATAATCTACAGGAGGCTTACCAAGTTGTGACAGCGCTAGGGTTGGAGCCACTTAGGCTGCTGACCCCTTTTTGGTTCTTCGCCTGCCTCCGGGACTGGCGGGTGTATGCACCGGATGCTCATGTACTCTTCCGCGTCTCAGCAGCGCTAATCCACACGCAACCGCCCCTGTGGCGCCCCCAACAACCTACGCAGCTGGGGGCTCTTATGCCCCACCGACAGCGAGTCCTCTTGCTGGGGTTTACATCGAGGCTTCGCCGCGTCAGACGACCGCGGAATTTCGCCTACGGGATCCTATCCTCGGATTCAGAAGAAGAACGCAGGGATGGAGACAGGCCAGAAACAGCTGGCCATGCCCTTGCAGCACATGACAGAGAGATGGCTGTTGCCTGCGTTGAAGCCCTCGGGGGTTCTTGCCTCTCTGCCTATTCAGTGCTAAAATTGGTTGAAAAGCGTTCACCAGTGAATCCGGCGGCGCGAGACGAAGCCGATGCAGCCAGCTACTCCTCGGAAAGCATTGGAGTGGACGTTGTCATTGTGGGTCAGCTCGCAAGGTTGCGAAAAGCAGGCGTTGCGTTCCTGGACAAAGGAGCAAGTCATTATGAAGCTGGCACGCAACAATCGAGGGCAAGTACACAACAAAAGAAAAAAAGACTCGGAGCGAGAGCTGAGGCTGCGTTGTTGTATAAGCTACAGGAGCTGGGTATCCCTTGCGTACATCATCAGTGGCTGCTTGACTCGTATTGCTTCGTAAGCAGACACCTGCAGGGAGCTGTGAGAAGTCCCTTGGTTGTTGCGTTTCACGTGTTTTCCTTTATAGATGTGTCTTCTCTTCTCTCCAGATGTTAACCTACTTCATTGTTACAGGAGCTGTATGCCCTGATTCTGTATGGGTAGCTGAGCATCTGGCTTGTTTTGCTTTTCTTCATCTTTTTTGGGGGTTTTGTGATGTAGGGGCGTGCACCACCGTTTGACGCATACGTTCTCCCCACCGAGGCGGCTCACCAAAGCGAAGCACCAGCCGGCCCCAGCACTGCGCTTCGGAGGCAGCATGTGCTGGAAGGCGTGCAGGTGCTTGTGGCGGACGCCGAAGCTGCCCGAGATCCAGCGTTGCTGCAAGTATGGCACATTCGTGTTGCAATTCTTTTCCATAGCTACAGCTAGTCTTTGTCCTATAGACTGCAACTACCAACGGAGAACCTGATAGCTTTGCCAGCGGTGTTTACTGAAATATGCCGTTTTCGTTTGTAGTTGATTGTAAGGCATATTTGCTTTGGATATCTGCAGCGCGTACGTGAGCTAGGGTGTACGGACGTCACGGCAATTCCCTCGCTCTTGGGTATCTGCCCGTGGCTTTTCAGCTGCAGGGCGACTCGGGAACTTGCTGCAGTTCTTTGTGGCTGCAGCGATCGGGTTCAACGCGTTAGCGCTGCGGTATGGCGTCCACAGGCACTGTCTTGTTGCAGAGCCGTTAGAAAACGTCATGCAGTTGTTAAGGCCTACGCTCGTTACGGGACTTAACCCAACATTTCACGACACAAGCAGACGACAGCCATGCACCTAGGGGTTGATTATCGCGGCAGGATACTTGGAGTTCAAGTGAATTTTACTATTTTTGTGTTGTTACAACTGGATCCGTTTCTGCACTGCTCTTTTTGCTGTCAGCTGGAGCGAGCTGAGGTTGCAAGGAAACGAGGCTCTCAAGACTATGGCTCAGTTCTGTTTGTAATTAAAAGAGAAGACTTAGCGGGGATGGTGGACTTGGCAGCTGTAGCTGCCGAAGCTGTTGAGGCAGCAGCCAGCAGCCAGCAGATGCTCGAAGGCGCGACAACAGGGAGAGCTGCAAGCACCAGAAGCGCCCAACGCCAGCAGCCTCCTCCTCTTCAGCAGGACCCGCAGCAGCAGAAGGTGCGGACGTTGATTTCGATGGCGCAGCAACGGGTCCTCCAGCAATTACCAGCAGCAACGGCCCTGAAGGCGCAGAAACTGTGGGCGGATGCAGCAAACGTTGCAGGCCATCTAGCAGCAACCGATGCAGCAGCATTCGTCGCTAAGCGCAACGCCACAGCGCTTGCGGAAATAGGGCCAGTATTAGTATCGCCGGAGTGGATTTCCAGGTGCTGGGCCGAAGGTCGTCGTGCTCCTGTCGACTCTGTTCACGGACGCATAGAGGCAAGCATGCACAGGCAGAATGCATTTTCTTAGGTTTTTGATTTCATATGGGTGCTGTTAGTTTGCTCATGCACCATAAGGGTAACTTCGTTGGGATTGTGGAGTGTGTGCACAGGTGCCGGAGTTCTGGGCTGACGTCCTTGCCTCCGATTCGTCTGGCCATGTGGAGGATGCTGCTCTTTTAGCTGCGCTGCAAGACTGTGGGGGCGCAGTAATTTATGGAGACTTCCCAGTTGTGGCAGATGCGAAAGAAGCGAGGTAATTAGGTGCCACATGGCTTTCTACTTAGAAGGCGACTGCATAGCTGATGTAGAATCTGCTTGAGTGCAGGAAACTACTGTGGCTCTCGCCTGGTTGTTGAGTTAAAGGCTAGGATATCCTTCTAAGTTGCTTCTAAGTTGCTACTTAGTGCAGCAAATCATGCAATTATAAGTGACTGTCGAGCTCCGCTGAGGTTCTTGCTGTGTGGTTCTCCAGGCTGCGTAGAGCGATGGGAGCCCTAGAACAGGCGTTGACTCTCTCCTGGGATATCCTAGAAGACAAACTCCTCGAGCAGTCCCATTAAGGCCCTTTTCATTGCATATTTATGCTGTAGCCACCGAGTTGTTTCTCGCACAAGGTCTCTCCCCCTTGACGTGGGAGATGGTGGCCAAAAATTTGCAAAGAATAATGCATACGTAGCGGCTTTGTACCTCCGTGGCGCTTCTCGCGGAGTTCACAGTTTTCTGTACGATAACGGTGATTCACATGATTTTTCCACCCTGATCTGGAAACTCCAGTATTTGGCATGTATTAACTCGGGGGCTGCTTACTAAGCGCCAAAGCTCTAATATAGTTGGGAAATCCTCGGTCATGCCCCTCTACACTGCAGACTCCAGCTAATGAACTAACGTGCACACTCCGCTCAGTGTGAGCTGCCCAGAGGGCCTCTTGATGTAATTCTTCAGAAGCTCCGAAGCAAATCGGAGCAGAGACGTGCAACGGAGAAGGTTATATGTGATGACTTTTCAGCCGGCAAATTGGGGGAGCTCTTAAATTGCTCACTGCTTGAAAAATGGCATATTGCGATTGTTAATGGTGTTGAACAGTATATTGGAGAACAGTGTAGTGTATCTTTTCGGGCGGCGCCTGTTCGTCTACCTGAAAAGGTTGGCTACTGAAACTCACAAAGTTACGTGCCTGATGCCACGGTTTCTCGCTAGTACCATATAATCTGCAGATTTAAATTGAGTTCACTTTCTTGCTGAGTGTGTGAAGGGACGGACCACTGGTGAACACTGGACGAGACTGGCGCTTACGTCGGCCTCTTAGGCCGGGTAGTAACTCTGGTGGTCACCGCATTCTCGTAGCTTTAGTATGCAGAACTACCCACAATCTATAGTCATCACAGAGAACTAGATATACACATGTGGGGTCCAAGATGGGCTAGGCCATTGCAGTAGCCCTCCCTGGCAAAGGCTGTATTGCACAGGCACTACAATGTGCCTCGGGTATAAGTATTGACTTATGGGAATTTGGGTAGTTAGAGGATGTAGTTGGGAAGCCAGTCATTACGAGACGATAAGTAGGCACAGCTTAGGACGGCAGCGCATTACAATGGCTGCAGTGCACAGGCACTACAATAAGGCTCTGGTAAGGTTTCTAGCAGCCGAGCGGCCATAGACAGAAGGATTACCACATTAAAAACTAAGAAAATGAATTAATACTGCTAGGGGTTCTAATAATCGAGTACCATAGATAGGGCCGTAGGTTAGTAGGCCTACCCACGCCAGCAGCCATTCAACCACTCGGGTACCAGGTAGGCTCCTTTAGATATCTAATTGGATAGGTAATAAAATTATTACTATATAGGTGTATTATGTCAATAATTACGACTTTGGTGGAGTTCCAGCTGACCGTTACGCCACCATTGATATTCACCCCGCCATCCTGTAGATTGGGCACAGACCCCCAGCCATGACCGGGGTCATTACCCGGGTCAATTCGGAACGCAGTTCTTTTATTATACGAACTCGCATTACTATTACAGACACTCAAAAATGATTTGTTATTCGGGGCGTAGGCTTCGAGGGATTTTAATAGTTAAGGGTTGCATTTAGGGAGTAAGGGCTACGCGACTGCTGGTAGGCGTGACCTAGGACGGCCGCGCACTACAATGGCACTGCAACAATTTACTCAGGCAGAAATTCGCCCCTAATCAATATATTTTGTCTTGTTACTAGTTCTTTTAGATGAGAAATTTTTATTAGGAGCATCCGTTAGAGGCATAATTGAAGTTTGGTTCTTGAAACCAGCTCTGTACTGGTCGGCTTCCTCAACCATTGCATTGCTGGCTGAAGGTAGCAATGCATGCATGAGGGCGAGGGCCTCTCGAAAGTGGCCTTTTAGATTTTTCTTCGTTATTAACTTTAAATGCCAACAGCTCATATGAAAAGGGAACAAAACTGCTGCTTCTGCTGCTGTACTGCTGTACAGCTGCAGGCTGCTGGGGTGTAGCCCACCAGGAGCAACTTACAGGGACTTTCTAACTACAGCCCCCGTCCCTACGATACTTGGAACGCTTGTAAATACGGCAGTTTATTTTACAGGTATTAGTTGACTTTCGACAAGTAGCAATAAATAAGTACGGGGGGCAACTGTGCCGTTTACCTGTGCCCAGTGGTCCAGCGCCGCGAGCTTGCAATATAAGGCCAGTGTCGGCTACAGCAGCAGCACATCCACTTGGGAAAGAAATGAGGGATTTTTGATTCGGCTGCATATAATTGGCGGAGATGTCTCTTGCTGGGTACTATGTCCTAACAGCACGAGCTCATTCACGCGACTGGAGGTGGTGTGTGTCTTTTTCCCTCTTCTAGATCCCCAGGATATGCCTGACCTTCTGGTTGCGTAGCAGTCGCCTTTCTGCGGAGGGATCAGGAGTTGGCCGATTGTCTCCAGAGGCCCTTCTCATCCCATTTACCTTTCGAAGTGCTCCTGCAGCGCTTGAGTCTCTGGAGTTCAGCTGCAACTATCCAGTGGTGTCGGCACCTGCAGCATATATCGACATCTGCAGAAAGTTTTCTTGTTCAGCATCCCCAACACCGTAGATTTCTCGAGAGTGAGAAAGGAAGGGTTCGTTCACGGGTAGGAAAGCCCTGGATTACCATTTCCCATGTGCCCTTTGGTCCCTCGTTATGAAACCGAACCGTCACGAGAAGCACTCATTCGCTTCTTCAGGCCGTGCCATGTCCGACTGAGACTTGCTTTGCCAATCGTTTGCACACAAAACTCATTCTGAAGATGGGGCGCGATTCGCCGAGGCCCTCTTCCTCTAAGAGGGCCTCGCAGAATCTTGAAACTCCACCTCGAACTTCCTCAGCTTTAAAACATCGGGCGTCTGGGGTGAAGTCGAACACCAGAGGAGGGCCACTGGAATCCAATGGCGAGGGAAGTGACAGCGTGGACGGCAGTCGCCGGGGAGGGTCCTTGGGGAGAGGTCGGTGGCCGCCAACTCATATCTGCTGTCCCTATTCCGAGCATCATTGCTCCTCTTTGTAAACCAGTTCACGATGTATCCTTGTCGCATGCTTATACTGTTTGTCCTTGCTATGGTGTTTAAGAAACGAAATTGTATTACTCTTAAAGAAAATATGTAGAGCCTGGGAGTGGAACCAAGGCGATAAATTCGGATTTGTGATTTCGCTCGTACTCAGGGGATACGACTGGTGAACCCAAGAAGCTGGCCTCTTCTGTGGATGGTGACGGAGATGCTGTGTCTCGTGAGTTTCACATAGATATTCCCGCATTATTGGGCCTCTCATTCACTTCCTACAAGCGCAGCAAGGCGAGGCCAATATACTTTGCAGACGCCTGCACATAGTGCCTGCATCTATATGTATCACAGCACATGCAAACCGATAGAGGGAGTCATGACTGTTTTGTCATTTCTTCGGTGTGGGGTCGTGTGATGCAGCGACGGACAATCCAGCTGAGCGTAAGTTATTTGCTTTCCTAAGTGGCAGAAGGGTTAAGCGCGGCCCGCCTCTACGCACTGCCACTAATTGTTGCAGCTTACTTTGCATGGGTTCTGTTGAACTACACTCTAAAGAAGCCAGTGGGGTGCTAGTTCTTTATGCAACTCAGCTGTGGCACGGGTCTTTCAGTTATCACCACTTCATGCTGCTGTGCTCCGAATTCGTTTGTAGCGAAGAAGCGGGTGGTGCGCCTCACGCTGACGGAGGCAGCCGAGGAAATCAAGAGGTTACGGCATTTTGAGCGAAGGATGAATGTCGAGATTAAACAATATGAGGAAGATGCTAAGAACTACAAGGAGCAGATTAGCCGTCTCAAACAGCAGGTTGTGGACAACGAACGCGCTCACCAGGAGGAAATGGCTGCCCGAACGAGCGCGTATGAGAGCGAAATAAAGAGACTCAAAACGCAGCTGCAGGTTAGTTTTGAGGTATCTTCAAGGTACAGTCCCTCATTTTGCCAGAGGAGTGCATGGTGTATGCATATGGTTTTAAACTCATCCGCACCAGGCAAGTGAAAGGCCTCGTACATCCTTGTTGACCAAAGCGTCGACGAGCGTTTTTGCCACTGCGCAGACTTCCCCTATCAGTGCTTGCTGCTTCACTTGGCCTGCTTTAGCGAGCCCAATATATAGCTCTAGTGCCCAACATCGTCCCTCCAATTCGCAGTTCCATCATGTGCTCCATCATTTCTTCCTTTCTGGGTGCTGTTGCTGAAGAACACCTCCGACGAACTGCATCTGCTGCAAGAAACTTCTTTGCCCCTCGCCGAGGCGAGAAAGTTGACATTTAAAGCACTGCGTAAAGGAAGGGCTCTCCAGTACATGTCACAACTGTACACGAACAACAGTGTGCTGGTTTCTGTAAAACGGGAAGGCGAGTGACAGACCCACTGTATCGCTTGCCCATAAAGAAAGCCAATGAATTGCACGACTCCTTGTAGCCCCAACGAACAACACATTTGCGCTCGGTGGTGATTAAGGCGTGTTTCCATGTGCGTGTGTGCTTCTTTACATCATTGTGTGTATGCAGCTCTGTACAAACTGCTTGAGAATGCAGTTGGCACCGACCATGCTGTTTTCCGTGCAACTCATGGTTTCGCATGCGGTGTTCAGTCGTACACTGACAGCCATCTAAGGCTGCTCAGGCAAGAGCAGCTTATACTTTTGGCTGAGAATGAGAGGCTTCAGGCACAGGTGAGCGTCAACTTTAATTGTGTTTTCTTGGAAGGAATGAGTGTGTTCAAGAACTTCGCCTAGTGACTGCAGACAGTGCCTTGCTGGGAGGCTTTGTCTGGTTGCGCACACTGCAATCCTGCCTTCCAGGAAGGGCGCCCCTCTCCTACGCTGCCCATGAGTTGCTAATGCAACTTTAGTTTTGCTGTGTCACTCGTTTTCTTCTATGTGTGCGTAGATCCAGGAGATGCAACACGAAACCGAGAATAAGCGTCGAGATCGTCTGCTGCAACAAGAAGCAATTGTTGCCGGCAAACTTGATGTGCGTTGAAATAGGGCATGCACATGGCAGAATTTATATTCTTGCTGGATGCAAGTGCCACGGTTTGCTGTTGTCTCTGCGTGTGACAGCAGCTAGCGGAGCATGAAAAGAAGTGTTGGTTGATTTGCCTTGGAAATTGCGTGCATCTTTGCTGTGCAGGGAAATCTGCCTTCTCAGGAGTCATATGAACGGCCCATCGAAAGTGGTGGTATTTCTTACCAAGCAGTTGACGCACTTATTGTTGTTCATGAGCATTTTACGATCACGTTTCAGTCTATTCAAGAATACTCACAACTTGTGTACTGCCTACTGTCTCTTCTGTATTCTCGAAGCTTATATGGGGGTCCTTGCAACATTTCCGTTCTTCAACGCGTACAAGACATACTTTAGGGACTGGCTTTTCAGTCTCCTGTGGCTGCCTGTATTGCTTGTGCAGCTAGCCGTAGCATGAGCAAAGGTTTCCATAAGGAGGCAACCGAGTCGCACGGTTTGATGAAGGCACAGTCTCTTCACAGCACCAGTAATAAGCAAGCTGAAATGGAGCTTGCAAAGACAAACCTGCGTTCTGTTTGCTCAACCCTCAAGATTGGGGAAACTAGGCTTCTATCCTATGCATTCAGCCGGTGTGCCCCCAAGGCTCAGAAACACACTTCAGTACGCACTTCAGGCTAAAGGTTTTCAAATGTATAGCATTCCAGTAGATCACTGTATGTGCGTGTGTTCTCTCTTGCTCAGTCTATACTCTCACTGCGTGGCGGAGTCCGTAGTGCGTACAATGGAAAAGGCAATCAACAAAACAAATGTGGAGTTTAGAAAGGAAACTATCGTCACTGGATGTGCGCTAGTGACGTCTTTTGTTAGGTAGGAGTGCTGGTTTGGAAGTCTGTTCGCTGCCTTTGCCGAACATGATCTCAACTGAGGTTTTTGATTAGATAGATATGATGCTGCTTACTACCTTGTTGATTTCCTGAAAACCTATATAGAGAACAACTTAGGCACCCTTCACAGAGTAGATAGTGTTTTGTGCACGCTTGTGGGTGCGTCGAACAGGACAAGTGAGAAGGCTAAGGTGCTGAGAGCCTTTTGGATTTTGATTTTAAGCGCGAGGATGCAGAACCATGCCAAGGAAATCCAGGCACTGAAGGAGCAACTGAAACGCGCGCAGGAGCAAGAGGCTGCTTCAGCGGGCCGAAAGTACTCAGCAGCTCCATGTCGTGCGTGCCACGCGTGGTCCGTACTGTCCTCAGAACTAGACCAAGCCAGTGAGCAGAGCATTACACCGAATTATCGGTCTGCAACCAGTCAAACGACGCATCTTAGGCCTTGACCAAGCAGCAACACCTGTTCTCAGCTTGAGCGAGTGTGTTGCTCAAACCGATGAATTAAGCTGCCCAGAGGGCAATAACCATGAGCTCCGATGACTTCAGGAAGATATAGGGAGTATCGTTTCGTGCATTTGCGTGTTTGCGTTGCGTTTGGCATAATTAAGATTCTTCAGCCATACGGCCGTCTGCTGGGCCTGAGAGGGGGGATCCAACGGCGGCAATCGGCCTACCTCCTTCACAGGGGGGTGGCATTCCTCTCCCCGTAGCCTATGCTCCGCACTATTTTCGCAATCTGCCTTCGGCGCAGAGGCGCCGCAATGTCTACTTCACCGCTACTCCGCCGCGCGTTCAGGAACAGTTCATCCCCAGCACCATTCAGAGAGCCCGGGACATGGCGCTCAGTGAGGAAGTAAGCAACCAACGAGAAACGCCGCCACCTGCTGCTGCCTCGAGTTACGTAACCTTCAACTGTTCAGGTTTCGCAGATTGAATTCACTTTCATCGATATGACGCACTCTGAAAGGTGATATAGTGGCTCCTGTAGAGCACATCACATAAGTGAAAATTTGATACTTGTCTCCCCATTTCAGACGTTGTACCGGCCAATTTCGCTGGCAGAAGGCTGGAAGGGAACTGGTACCAATGGATTGGGTATTGGCATGGAACCTGTTGGCACCGTCATTGGCTCTCACGCCACTTCGCAGGGCAGCAAGCTGGAAGCTGCTAAGGGATCACTTAAGGGCGCTCTCGGTTTGCCGCAGTAAGATCGCACATTCCTTTAGGTGTTCTTTCCGTACCATCACGCCCCACGCACACCATGGCGCCCCATCTATCACCGCCTACGATGCAGATCCACTGGTCATCTGTGCTAATGTGTTTGTGCAGAACTACCCCATCGTCTCAACCCCTCACCGCTGCGGAGAGAAATAATGCTTACATGGAGCAGTTACTACGCTCTAGTGAGGAGCGTACGAAGCTGCAGTAAAATCAAAGTTTCCCTTTTGCCCCCACGCGCTTTCGGTTAGGGCTGTTTGCCCCTCTGGTCTTCCGATGCATGAGGGGGCACTCCAGCGGAAGATTGAGGCAGTGGAATTGTTTTGGCATACGCAGTAATTTTTTTTGTCACCTCTTAGTGCCCAACAGTTGCGCACAGGGGCATACGTTTGAATTGGCAATTCTCGTGAGCGGGGGCTATTGCCGCTGGTATTCAGGGGTTGTAGCCACCTGGCTGTGCTCTCTCAACGGACGAAATCACATTGCGAAAGAAAGCAAGGTCTTTCCTTCGTCTTCTCCCACGCAAGGTGCGTGCGTGTGCTGTTAACACGTGGCAAGATACGAACGTTATATCAATGCAGCAAGTCCGGTTCCGGTCAAAAGAAAATTCCACATGTAGGCAAGCTGTGAAACCTTAGACACAAGTATTTCGTTGCCGTTGCGCCTTTCGTGGCTAATGGTGCCACCAGAATCTCCAGATGGGCGTTAAGGTGCACACCTGGCATGTTTAAAATGTGCCGATGGGATAGATACCAGCACCTTCTTGAGGGAGCCGTCATTGCCACTCACGTCCGAGCAACTTCAGAATTCTCTCTGAACCAGTCGATAGTCTTCTGTACTCCTGCAATCCACCAGACCACTCAAGCTTACAGTACGATGTATTGCCGAAGGCTCAATGTGCCCACATTTGAGGCACCGCCTCGGATTCAGCCATCCGCCACAGACACGGGCTGCAATGTAGGTAATCCACCAAGGTTCATGTTCCAGACCTTGGTAGACATGCATGAGGAAAATATGTAATCAAGCAACACTACATGCAACAGCGTTGCAATAGTGCCTAGACCATAAAGAACCTGCGCACCTTCTTCCAAAGGAGTAAACAGAAATTCGTGGCCAACGACACTCCTTAGCTTGGAGTTGTCTGCCGGCTGCGCGGAAGCACACAGGTATGTTTCTCTAATAACATTTAGATATCTGGATCCAACGAACAGCTGCATTCCGACGGTGATGCTGCATAGTGACGTGCTGCTCACCTTTCTTAGAATTCCTTCAGAGGCGGCCTCATCAAACTGAAGGCACCGCAGCCAACATAATGAATAGGTGAGGTGACGGAGGAATAGTCTACTGTCAACCTCAAAAACAGAATCAGTGCAGACAGTCATCTGAGCTCTGTACATCTTCCCAGGCACAAACATGTACGAGTACGATTATGATTCACAAGTTACAATGGAAGGTACACTGACGAGTGCCCCTTTATCTGACCTCTATAGGGCCGTCAAACTGCGCACACCGCTTGATCATCAATGCCAGGTCCTCTATGGATATTTCTGCAGAAACATCGACACGCATCGTCACAACTGGAAGATGTGTCAATGAAGGGCAATTGGCCACTTCACAAATATTTGCACTGCCTGCCTCCTCATTGCCCACTCCATCACGGATGCTTGTGACGATAAAACGTGCCCTCGCGCTATCAAGCAACCCGCGCGACAGAACAGCCGTACCGCTGTCCTGAAGGTCTGGGCACATGTTCAACAAAGTATGGGTCTCAGGAATCTGCCGCTTCACCAACAACAGCAATAACAGACGAGCTGCATCGTCACTGAACAGAAATTGCCTCAAGGCAGCTCCTTTTCCACGCACGATGAGGGGAGTGCCGTCGCCTGTGGAGCCACTCCGGTACGCAATATGACGTACATTCATCTGTTTATTCAACCCACCCCACGAGATGTCCAACTAACAACGCATGCAGACAGCTCAGCTTATCTGTAAACTACTAGATGAACCGGGGGTGTGTACAAAATTGAGGCTGATACGCAACGACCGCAGCCCAACATAAACGTACGCTTGGCGATCTCCGTTTTATGGACTAGAGCTGGAAGCACGTGTGCTGTATTCAGCTCAAAGTTGTCGAACGGTCCGTAGAGATTGCACGGCAGGACGCATATCCAAACAAACGTTTGGCCTGCAAACAAATGGTCGCGAGTAACACCATGCTCTTACCATGTTCTGGTAACTTTTAAAGCATCAATGAAGGACACTAGAAATTAATTTAACAGCCCAATTCCAAGGTACACATCCATACTACGGCAGCAGGTGCTACTAGTTCGGAAATATACACAGAACAGTAACGTCACCGAAAATTGCACATGCAAGCCTCCTATCCATGGTGTTCATGCTCATACAATATGCACATGGATATGCATTACACATTTACACATAAACATAATAATCACCTCAAACTGAGTGAGAAGGGCCCAGAGAAAATTCCCTCTCAGCAAAATTCAGCTGCGGGTCTACCTGCACCTAGCCACGACTTACCGGGATTGTTCTCCTGGAGTTGCTGACGACTGAAACGAACCTGCTGTTCCAATAAGCGCTTGGCCGCTGCATACCCTTCATTTGAAGGGTGAGAAGGGGACAAGCTGCGTTCAAAAATCCACTCACTCTCTACACTGCACAAGACTGCAACTGGCGAAGCAATAAGCTTCTAGCCGCCAGGTACGGTATTCCATTTGAGGTCTAAGCTAGGAAACAACCTACTGGAGGTACTCTTCGACGAGAGGGAGCTGCGGGGTGGTCTCCGGGTAAGCACAAGTGGAAAGGCAAAATATCGCCCGGTGCACCTGATACAACAAAACGAAGCACTTCAGTTTGAGCAATGCACTTGTGTGCATGGCCCTTAAGCCTACACCATAAACCGTAGACGCGCTGCGGCTGATTTTCCTTAGACAATAGGCCCTAAGCATGAGTCGTCCACCATCAACGTCTAACCCAGGACAACTGCATGTCGTACAGTACACAGACCATGCGTACCCGTGCTTCTACAGCGGCCCGGACGACATTTGTGTTGATGAGCACATTCTCACGAAGGAATGCCTCCTGTACAGCGAAGCGCAACCAAGCAAACACTACTGAGTAGAACATCAGAAGACGGAATGCCAGCCCTAAGCTGTGTCCTTGCAGAGGTAATAATACATGCAGATACAGGCATATGAACACATATACATACGCCCATAAGCATTAAACACGTATTTACATTCACAGGTCGTCAGTACATGCATAAATATACACACACATAGCTCGGAAAAGCGTTCGTAAATGCTAAGTACAATTGGAGGGGATTATCACATCTTTGCATGGGTCACCCACATTATTCCTCATGTTTTCGTAAAGGCCCCCAACTTTGGCAGCTAAGTGAATCAGTGCGCTGGGCTGGTACTTTTGAAAGAGAGACTCTGTTTCTGGCCAGGATCTGAAATTGAAAACAGCGCAGATGCACCTCTACAAACGACGCAATTCATAAATAGTATCTGTGAATTCAGTTCGCGCTAGGTACATGTTGTGTTGTTTTGTCGAGGCATTGGAGCCCCCATTTACAGTAGCTTGGCAGTCTTGAAAATTAACGTATGATGGGCAGCTGTTGCGCTCGCCTTCTTTACCTGAGGTCTGCGTCCTTTGACCCAACAAATACGAAATGGTAGCCTTCCAGGTCACCTGCCTGTTCCTCCAGCTCCTCAACAGTGGCTCGTAGGGCCCTCCCCAGCAGCCCTGTGCCTCCCAATACGAGACAGACTGGCGTTGATTGCTGTGAAGTGCACCCGTGTGTGATTGCAGTCAGCCTCCGGACAAAGCCGAGTGAGGGGCGCCTCATGATCGGAAGCAAACTACACTACTACTACACAAAATTACGCTGAGGGAGTCTTCAGGCATATAGTTCTGTATATGTATGTGCCGAATTCGGTAATTCAATCCTTCTACAAGTGGCGAGATTACGAACTTATCGTCGTCTTCCCCAAAGTCTATTCAATAATTGACAGTGCATGCAGCGGCTGCTCAGCAACGAAACTAAACCAGCTGAAGTACGATCGTGATGGGGTGAAGAGGAGAAGGACTTCTAGAGAGCCCTGGACCGTCGACTGTTCCAGCTGAGGTAGTGGTTGCTGATGCGATGGGAAAGAAACATCCTGCAAAACACACACACACACACCCGCACACACACGTGCACGATATCCGTGCACACACACCGGGCAAAGGGACTGGAGTTCAGCATTGAAGAGACACTGTTCCATGTGCATGCCATCAGTTAACTGCAACTTCAAATATGCGGGTAAATACATTACCGCAGTTTTTCATTTGAGTCGAGAGGTTGAGGGCACGTGATCGCCGCGGAGGGTGCTGGCAGAAGCTTCCAGAGAACCGTTGACGACGTGATTATAGGAAGAATTTCAAAATACTCAATATGGATTCAAAGAAATACAGGGGAGAAGCATCGTTTTATGTTGTGCATGCACAGAGCACCAAAGCAGCCGGAAGCTGCATTACTCGTGATCGCCGACGTGGCAGCAACAGTCTGTCCGGTCTCATTCCAGGAGCACAACGAATGGTTACGAGCCAAATTTCCTTCTCCTCCACTAATCCCCACTGATTTGTATCTAAATGAATAATTTCTCACAAGGAGGCTGCCTTCACGTGGCTGCCTCGTGTGCTCGAGCAGAACGGCAAAATATGCTGTTGGTGGAACGGACAAGCAACGCGCCGCCGCCTCTCCACACAGCAACTAGATCCCAACGCTCGTAATGAATATAACTTCCCAGTATAATGCTCATTAAAGTAAAGAAAAGCAAGGTTAAATGCACTCGAACCCTTCGTCTGTTGTGCGACAATCCCGCAGTGCCGATTGCTGCCTTGGTGGAGCACTGAAGTGAGCTCGGAGTTATTGTGACAGTTTGATGGTACGCGTTGTCTTTACCCAGCTCCTGATGGACCATCTTAAGAGTTTTTCTTTGTTTTATATGGTACTAGTGGCAATTGAAGGCTTCTATGGTTGGTGAGTTAATGGTGTTTAACAACCTAAACTTGTCCCTGTGAATCTACCGTACGTAACCCAGTTGTAGTTCGTCACAGGACGGACAACGCCCAAGAGCACTTTAATCATCCGCGCAGTGCTGCAGGTGGTGTCGTACTAATGAGGAATATTAGTGGTAACCCACGAAGACTTGCGGCGTCGTAACTCAAAAGCAGCCCGCTCTATCTTGGCCGTTTGATTATGCTGCAACTCACGACGGTTCTCATTAAGCTCCCCTGACGGTTGAAGGATCTGCTACCTTGCATCAGAGGGGCTCTATGACCCCATCTAGGTCGTGTGGTGTACACAACTGGTACGTTGTGAAGGCCGTTTGCACGAAAAAAGCGAAATAAAGAATATTCGGCCCGTAACCAGCCTCAGAAGGGGCAACTTATGCGATGAACAGAGGTAGACGCCGGTCTAGAAATCAGAACACTTATCACTGGAATTTTGGGTTGAGATGACTATAGGTACGATGATTCTGCCTCACGGAACAACCGTATATCTCTTCGAATCCTAGGAGACAAACTGAGCAAAGAACGTAAATTCGCTGTCTGGGGGCACTTCCGCGGCACCGTTTGCTTGTATACTAGCAAATGAATACAGAGGGTAGTGTTGGGGTCCAGCACAGGTTAGACAGCCAGCATCAAAAACCAAAGAACGGTGCAACAAGTTTGGCTTGAAAAAGCTCTAAAGCGGGAGTGCTGGCGACGCGGAAACATTCAAGTGACTGGTTTTCCCGTCCTCGGAAAGTAGAGAACCAGCCAAGTCATTGCACAGTCCTGGGTTGCTAAGGGTGTTAATCAAGAATAATAACACAATTGCAGTGATTGCTTAACAAAGCAGGATGAATGCATATTTTCGTGTATTCAAGGAGTTGTTCCATTATGCCTGAGTTAGAACCGTATACCATGTTGCACTGCAAAGTTGTTTGGCAATAAATGTCATTTGATGTAAATACTAATGAAATACTCTAAGAATTCAATTGGCAAATTATTAAATGAAGTTAAATGCGTGCTGAGACCGTATTGTTTGTGGCAGCTGAGCTTTGTCTGCACACTGCCGACGACACCTTCTGTAGTGCACGGGCACTACAAGGGACCCCTAGGAAGGCCTTTAAAGGACAGTAATAGGAAAGAGCATCATAAGGGATAATATTAACTAGTAACTGGCTCTCTGAGAGTGAAATTGATGCCTTAAGGCCGCGAGTGCGCTGCAGTCGTACCGAGGTTTGGGGCTGGCAGAGGGGCCAGCGGCGTGGCGGAGGCAATGACCAGCTAAAGGGGATCAGGGCGTTGAGATCTATTTGGGATCTCCCCTGTTTATATATCATTTGGGTGAAGTTTGTGTGGTGATTTAACAAACTTGGTTAGCGTTATTTTGGTGGCAAAAATTGGGTTTTAGTGCACAGCTCCTCAGGTTTACCCGTTAGCTTGATCTGTGAGCCTACGTAGTCGCAGCCGAGTGCGAGCTGTGTACTACACCACACCTTCCCAAACACCGCTAGTCGTCTTCTTGATTGCAGCTATTGTTTGATATTCTCAATTTTAATTGTTGGTTGTGTTTTTGTTGGTAATTGAGGCGGCTTTACTTGCTTTGCTCTATTGTACGAGACAAGCCGCCGACTCCACTCACGGTTGTTGGTCAAGCTTCCTTTCGATACGCATGCGAGGCGCCAAGGTCGTCACCTGCAAGTTTCTCTAGTCTGATGGTTTAATTAATGTTTTTTTGCAAACAATGAAGCGCAGTACAAATATAATTTGAAACTTCACTGCGGCGGAGAAAGTTTGCGGGTAATTGCTGACGATGAACTTTTTTTCTCAGAAAAAACACATGAAGGTTCTTTCCTTCGCATTTTCAGAGTTGTTTCCTTCGAGCTGTCCTCAAATAAATAGATTTTAATTCAGCAAAGCTGAGATCTACGCAAAGACAGTTGAATAGTATTCGATTTCCCAGCAGCGCCTCGTCGGAGGTTTGCATGCATTGACTGCTATTGTTTCCGCCTTTTAATACCATGTTTCCTATTTTAGACCGCGTCTTTGGCAAGTGGGGGCGTTGGGTGTTGTTGTGTTTGGTCTTGGCGTCATCTGTGCATTTTCTTTTGCATCTTTTACTGGTTCTATCGAACGATCCCCATGGCCGTTCTCTCAAAGAGAACTTCATCGACAGCGGCTACGGTTTTTTCTCCTACGAGGTGACTGACGAGATATGCAGCAACTCTGAGCTCACGGTTGCTCCTTCTGCGGTGCTGCAACAGGCGCACGAGCTGCTGTTGCAACACAAGAAACTGTCTCGGGTCCTACAAGGCAAGGAGGAGGGACAGGCCCCCTTATCGCTACTTTCCGTGCATTGGGTAGTTCGATTTGCGCAACTGAACCCTCAGCGGCGGCAGAATCTAGTGAAGCAACTGCGTCATTTGGAGGAGTCATTAAGTAGTACAGACACCCAATCATTGTCTTCACCCAAACTGCAAGAAGCCCTTGAACTGGAGTTATCCCCTGAACTCAAGTCGTCATTGTTGATTTACGTCAAGTGCAAAAACAAAAATGGAAGAAGCGTCTATGAAGAACAAGCGGAAGCTGGAGGGGATGGCCCCAAGGAGTTTTCTGTGGAGGCCCATAAAGAAGCCCTGCATGAAGAAGATCGCCAAGGGGGCCCCCTAACAGTCTCTCAGGGGAGCCTCCTCTTGCACTCCTTAGGGGTCAAAACACAGATGTTTTTGCCTAGTCGTTTTCTTGGAGACCCCAACCGCATTTGTCAGGACTTTGATACCCATTTGAATGAGAAGGGGAGAGAGAAAGTACAGTATTTGAAGAAGCTGATATGCTCTCCTTCTCTCGAAACTGTACTGCAGCTGATGCCTCTGCGGCTGCAGCACTGGTGGGGGCGCGTGCGTTGGCAGTACCACATGGCAGAGTATTTGCGCAAGTTGTTGACGGTCTTTTGGCCTCTAAATCCTTACATGCATGCATTCTACAGACAAGACATGTTTGCGTTTCTTTCCCTTATGAGCCCTTACCTGGAACTCGAACCCCCAGTCAAAATAGACCCCAACTGTAGGCCACCCCCTGCTTACTGGGTCGTCCCCTTGACGCAGCAGCAGTGGGAAGAACGCCAGAAGCAGAAAAAATTAAGTCACAAGAAACAAGACGCACTGCAGGATATGTGCAGTGCAAACGCAGCAGAGCAGGGATCGTGTGTGCAGCAGCAACAGCAGCAACAAGGACAAAAACACCAGCAACAACAACAGCGGCAACAACAACCGCCTTCGAATGTGTTTTCAATTCCCGAAGAACACGACAACTACGTGCTCATAGACGAGTACTGCAAACAGGCCAGAGAAGTTCACAAGGGCTTTTTCACAGGAAAACCTCGAAAGAAGCCGATTAAAATAGTCGATACTGTTATTTTAGGGTGGGCCATTCGTCTTTATTGTCGTTGGTTGTTATTGTTAGCCACAAAATGCTCAGGGTAATCACAGTGTGGTGTACTTATGCTTTTTTACTTTCAACCGGTATATTACGTAAGCATGAGTAGAGAGGACAGAACCCCAGTTTTTGTTGTGTTTGTTGTGTTGTTGTTGCGGCTGCAACCGGTCAACTGCATAAAATGCGTACATTCATCAATTATTGAGTAGATTATGTACACGAATGTATGTGGCTTGGATTTGACTTTTGCTTGCAGTTACGACCTGGACTTGTTAGAAGTTCGTTTCCACGAGTTGCACCACACAGTTGATTACTTTGTGGTATCGGAGGCTCACCACCACACGCTAGGAGTTTATCAGAAGCCTTTGTTTTTCTCAAGAAACAAAGAACGATACCGTTTATTTCTTGATAAAGTGGTGCATTTGGCACAGCCATACGACGCGTCGCTGCCTGTGGCCCAGAAATGCAGCGAGGGGTTACTAAAACTCAACAAGGACGCATGCTGGGAGTACGAGCTGTTTCAACGCGACAGTCTCCTCCACATGATCGCACAAGTTAATGCTGGCACCCAAAACTACGGAAACACTCATATTCCAAAGGGTTTCCTGGACGACGAGACGCTCATTATTGCCAGTGATGTTGATGAAATCCCCATGGGTAAGAATATCAATCCCGGCGGCTTCTCGCCTGTTGTATTTGGCTAGCTTGGGACGGTATACAACACTATATGCTCCCCGTGTCCTCTAATGATCGTTTGCAAAGCAGGTTTCAGAGCAATAGATTGCATGCTGTGGGCTTATGATATTCAACACCGTCTTTTCTTCCAACACACCAAACCATTCTTTGATTGTCTGCCGATGATATACAGCACCGTATATGTTTCAAGCAACTTACTCCCCCATTGCTACTTTTATGTAACACACATTGAGTCTTCTATGCTGATGTTCAGGCGACCGCCTGCGCCATCTGAAGTTCTGCGAGCCTGTACCTCAGCAGCAATTTGGATGGGTGTTGGTTCATTACCCCGGGAGAGTTGACGCAATGGCATTGAAAGATTTCAAAGTTCATTCAGGAATTAAACAAACAAAATACCCGCATGCAATTGGCCCCCTCGCAGACACCATCGTAAGCGAAGATGCTCTAGGGCTCTGCCGCGGAGTTGTTGTTGCGTTTGCGCTTTTCAAAGTAGAGCATTATTTAGGGTTTAGGCTTTAGGATCTCGGGTTTAGGTGTGGGCGCAGCCGTGTCTCCTTGCAGCCAACTTGAAGGGGTTTATGGGGGTCTAGGCGTAAATGTCTGGGGCATTTAGGATTATGCTTTTAGAAGCTCATTGTACCTTAGGGATCAGGGTTTGGGCCCTCCTTCGCGCTAACGGTCATGGGCTTACTGTAGGGAGCCGTTGAAGCCCGAGCATTAGGGGTTAGGGTTTGAGGTTTGCGGGTTGCTCAGCCTTACAAGTCTTTGCGCCACTTGGAAACAAAGGCCGATTTCGTATATGACCGACATGCGTACACCCGAAAAGGGCCTTCTGAGCTATCGCCTCAGCTGTACTTGCATGGGGGTTGGCACCTTTCTGGTGAGTGTTCTCTGGTTGAGGGTTTGGAGTTCTAGTGAGTATACCTCGCGGCGTGCTGTCAGCAGGCGTAGCAATTCGTGCGTGCGAGTCGATTCTGTTGCAAAATATGTCATCTACTGGGTGTAGGGAATTAGGGTTTAAGGTGTGCCTCTGCTTTCGTAACGTTGCCCTTCTGCCAGCATTCGTTGCTAAGGTGGTTGAACAATATACTATAGTTTAAGGATAAATAAATTGATGTATAAAATGCCTGTTTGTTTCTCTTGTGTGTGTTGTTTGTTGTTTCTGCGGTTGTTTCTTATTTAGACACCTCTTATTTGCCATATTTATTCGCAAAGATCCCTTCCGATGACATAAAGCCTGGCTACGAGCCATTCAATCTTTATTTGCCTCTTCTATCACAAAGAGGATTTTCCTCCTCTCCTGTAGGAGGGATGTTGCAGTCTCAAGTTGCTGCTTGGAGGCACTTTCGAGACTATAGACAAGTTGGCTCTCTATGCGTGGAGGCCAAGGACGTACGCCTTTATACACTCCTCGTTGTATTTAATGCTTATGCTTTTACTTATTTTCATTTCCGATTTTACTTCCGTTTGTATTTTATATTTGTGTGTATTTAAGGTTTATATTCCTGCTTATTTTTATGTCCTTATGCATGTACTCATTTCGTTGCACTGTACATTTGTGTACATGTTTAGTGCCCGCATTTGCACTTCTCTCTATGTTTGTTCTTTTTCAGTATGAGCATTTGCCTTCAATCGCCCATGTATGCCCGTGAATACAGAAATTCATTTGGGTCTGTGCTTGTTTCTTCGTGTACTGATATGCGATTTCTTTGTTAGCGTCCCCTCGTGTCCTCTATTTTAAATATAATTTCAGCTCGAAGATATCAAAACATATTTATATCGATACGTCTTCTGCGATTTTTTTGTAGGTGCCTCCACAATATGAAGAGATAGGTTTTGGCCTTATGCCTTGGGTAATGCGCTGCAACCCCAAGAGGTATGTATTCGGCTTTTATTCTTCTCATTTTTCTTGTTAGCTATTGTCCAACACTTATTCTTTGTTATATTTTACGTGTGTGTTGCTGCATAATATTGGTGTGTTATTTCTTCTCTTGTGTCCTTTCTATGGGTGATTTGCTTTGCAACTTGGCGTTTGATCCTGTTCGTGCTGTTTGTTACTTTTGTTCGTTGTTTTTCCTAGTTTGTCGAACGAATTATATTTCAAAATGTTCCTGGTTTGTGTTTTAATCCTTTTATTTTTTATTATCCTTCATCGGAAATGTAAAACAACAACCGTCTCTGCCCTCCAGTGATTTGGATGCGCGGCTGGCTTACTCGTTACACTTGCTCGGTTAGGGTTTAGGGTTTAGAGATAAGAATATACGTTTAGGCTAACGGACATAGGGTTTGGGATAGCGGGTTTAAACATTAAGGTTTAGGGCTTAGGGTTTCATGGCTCGCTGCTGCGCTTGCAGGTATCCAACATGGTTTCAGCAGCCTGATCACCGCTATTCGTTGAGGCCTACAACTAGTTTTGTGGTGTACGGCCAGTCTGTGGAAGCGTCGTCGTTAGAGGAGTGGTTTGCAATCTTTAAATTCCTCAGGAATACATTTTCTGCAGATATCACTTCCCACAAACCAAACAAACTAACACACCCATAATGGCGCAATACATCCATACATGCATGTGTGTCTTTACGGGCATGCATGCATGCTTCTTCCTGACAACGCGTGTATCTTTGCATGCATGCATGCACGGATATACTGTTTGCATATGCACCGTACAAAAGTAAATATATATGTGCATATACATATGCATATATATGCATGCATATTTAAATGCATGCCCGTAAACATTTACATAGTATATATAGTTAGTATATATAGCCGTCTTATTCCCTCTGTGGGCTGTGGGGTGTTTTTTATATTTCTGTGCCTTTTGGCGACTGTTTATTTGTTTTGCTTCTGTTTGGCTGGCAGTTGAAGTGCAATAGTTCTTCCCTGCAGCTTCTCTTGCAACTACATGCAACTGTATGGATCTCCTGCATGCAGCTGCTAAGCACTGTTTCATGTAACTCTAAAGAACAACTGCATGCAACTGTAAAGAACTGCTGCATGCGCATGACCCTTCGCATGCACCACCTCGATTTCGTCGTTCCTTGTTCTGCGTGCACGACGCTGAATTTTAGGGCTTAGATTCTAGGGCATAGGGCTTATGGTGTAGGAATTATATTATAGGTTGCACTGTCGTTCATCCCAATACTTAAAGACAGAGTTATTGTCTACCTTTGTGTGCATACCTGCAATTATATCTACACACGCATCGTCTCCGTCCGACGTACCCACGCATATGCATGTACACATTGATGTATACGCGGCTACACTTATTATTTATTCAGTGTGTTTTCCCCAACATACAAATATATACATATGTACAAAAGCATAGTACATACTATGGACTTACGTAAACTATATATATATATATATATATTAT